TCTGGTACAGAAACAATAGTAATAATTTTGGTGAATAGAGAATCAGTGAAAAAAAAATTGTACAGGAAAATTTTCTTACCCTTTTCACAAGTACTATTTTCACCTCTTTCAAAAATTTTTATTTATTAATTAAATGCTTGGTACTATTTTATTTTAAATTCATTTCTTAAATCTCATGCCCCAAGATTGAATCCAGTGGGAAGAGATAATTTTTTTAAACTTTTATTTTAAGTTCAGGGGTACATGTACATGTTTGTTATATGGGTGAACTTGTGTCATGGGGATTTGTTGTACAGATTATTTTGTCACCCAGATATTAAGTGTAGTACCCATTAGTTATTTTTCCTGACCTCTCCCTTCTCCCACTCTCCACCCTCCAATAGGTTCCATTGTCTGTTGTTCCCCTCTATGTGTCCATGTACTGTCATCATTTAGTTCCCATTTATAAGTGAGAACATGTGGTATTTGGTTTTCTGTTCCTGCATTAGTTTGCGAAGGATAATAGTTTCATCTCCATCTGTGTTCCTGCAAAAGACGTGATGTCATTCTTTTTTATGGTTGCATAGTATTCTGTGGTGATACTTAATTTTTTAATTGCAATGTCTACAATAATTTATGGAGTTCATTAAATTTATGTTATTTTGTAATGAGCATTTACTAATAAAATAATTCTATTGATAAATTTTATCATTAAAAAACAAATGAATTACTCTAAATTTTAATTTATAAGTGAATTCATGCCCCTGTACTGTGGGGCATGATAAAGATGATGATTATTTATAATGATAAAGATGATGATCCATAAAATGGGAAAAGATTTTCTGAATTTGTCTGTGTTTACATATAAAATACTACATTAACCAAAGAGAAAATAAAACATTGTTTCCTCATCATATGTAGTTTTTAAATAAATACATAAAAATTACATTTAGTAATTAATACACCATGATCAGAAATAACTAGTTCAAAAGAAGAATTTTTTTAGAAAGTAACTTTTTTCTTTAACAAGTTTATTAATTCTGTGTTCTTAATGTTTTCCTTTCCCTTCACCTAAGACTTTTCCAAGATTACCTATTAATTCACGTAATGATGCTACCCCCTCAAGTAATTTCACAGGGCAGGAAATATGATTCAGACTATATGTTATCATATTTATTTAAAAAATATAATTTCTTGAGCTTTTGGGTTCATTTTCAAACCTTAACATAAACACGATATCGTTTTTACTTCTTACACAAATTAACACCCTGAGTTTTAAGCAGTAAAGAGAATATTGGTTTATGCTGTTTTGTTTGAGATGACATTTAAAAAATATGTCCATTTTGGAAGCTTGAGTTGCATCTGAATGATACTGATCACCTTGGAATGGTGGAAGAGTTCTCCTTACTAACAATGTTGAGAGAAAATTACATTGTTCAGCTCTTGTTTCCACAGATAGTATGGAGGAGGGCATCTATTAGAGGTAAATCTTTTCTTTGGAAGCAGCTTTAAGTCTTTGTGTATTGATAAAGAGAAGAAAAAGCTCCCAGGAACATTTTCTTATCCTTTCACAAGTGGTGTTTTTACCTCCTTTAAAAATTGTAAGCAGGGCCAGGCGTGGTGGCTCACGCCTGCAATCCCAGCACTTTGGGAGGCCAAGGCAGGTAGACTGATTGAGGCCAGAAGTTTGAGACCAGCCTGGCCAACATGGCAAAAATCCGTCTCTACTAAAAATACAAAAAATTTAGCCAGGTTTGGTGGTGCGCACTTATAGTTCCAGCTACTCGGGAGGCTGAGGCACAAGAATTGCTTGAATCTGGGAGATGGAGGTTGCAGTGAGTCAAAATCATGCAACTGCACTCCAGCCTGGGCAACAGAGCAACACTGTCTCAAAAAAAAAAAAAAAAAAAAAAAAAAAAAAAAAATTACCTATTAGTTAAATGCTTGGTATTATTCTTCATTTCTTTAATCTCATAGTGTTTTGACTATTTTGTAATTCTTAGAATGATTGTCCTAATAGAATGCAAACTCTAGTTTTGCAGGTCAATTTCCACTTTTTTGGTCAGTTTAAAATATAAAAAAATCCAAATTTAAAATAGTCACTATATTCTAGAAGAGAAAACTGATTGAGTTCATTTTTATAATTTTTGACATGTTTTAAATCTTAAACGATAACAGCAATTCAAAATACACTCAACAAATTTCTCTAACAACAACATGTATTTCTATATACCAAGAGTATGATCCTACTTATCCATTTGTAGTTAAAAAAAATTCAAACAGTATGGAGATTTCGCAAAGAACTAAAAATAGAACTACCATTCAACCCAGAAATCTCACCACTGGGCATCTACCCAAAATAATAGAAATAATTATATAAAAATACCTGTTTTTAAAATTTTTTATTTTGTTATTTTTCTTTTTCAACTTTTAGAATCAAGGAATACATACACAGGTTTGTTACAAAGCTATATCACATGATGCTGAGGTTTGAGGTATGACTGAACTCATCACTCAGGTAGTGAGCATAGTACCCAATAGACAGTGTTTCAGCCCTTGCCCTTCTCCTTCTCTCCTTCCTCTAATAGCCCCCAGTGTCTATTGTTTCCATCTTTATATCCATGTGAACCAAATGTTTTGTTCCCACTTATAAGTGAGAACATAAGGTATTTGGTTTTCTGTTCCTTCATTAATTTGCTCAGCATAATGGCCTTCAGCTGCATCTATGTTGCTGCAAAGGACGTGATTTCATTCTTCATTCTTTTTTATGGCTGCATAGTAGTCCATAGTGTATATGTACCACATTTTCTTTGTCCAATCCACTGTTGATGGGCACCTGGGTTGATTCCATGTTTTTACTATTGTGAATAGCACTGCAATGAACATATGGGTACACGTGTCCTGTTAGTAGAACAGTTTATTTTTCTTTGGGTTTATACCTAGTAACGGGATTGCTAGGTCAAACAGCTATTCGACTCCCAGTTCCTTAAGAATTCTCCAAACTGTTTTCCACAGTAGTTAGACTAATTTGCATTCCCACCAACATTGTGTTAGTGTCCCCTTTTCTCTGCAGTCTCACCAACGTGTTAGTTTTTGACTTAACAAAAGCCATCCAATGCAAACTTTAAGAGAGAAATGCCCATGTCAGGATTTGCCACAGAATGGAGTGTGTACCAGATGCTATGTGGCTGGTTGTTGCTTGAGTGTTAAATCACCATGAGACCAATGCTCCTTAGCCACCCCATGGATTGCATCAATTATAGAGTAGTAAAATATACTAAAGTGAGAAATGGATGTAGCAGCTGGCAGTATACATAATTTGGAAAATATCAGGAAATATGTAAATAACCTTCTAGCATTACAATGTTTTAGCTGTTCTGTGCTTATACTTCATAAAACTTAAGTTTTTGAGAGACAATTTTTCTTCCAATTAGGGAATAGCAAAGAGTATGCAACAGGCAAATTTGGGTCTTCTTCATATCTGATGAAGTTATAGTATAAAAAAGCAAACTGGCTAGGGTATCTGAACAATGGGTTCAAGGCTTTGCAGCACAACTAGCTGGTTGGGATTATTTAACCTCTCTATTTCTAGATTCCTTGTCTAGAAAATGAGAGAATTGGGTAAGAGGTTATCTGAGATGACTTAAATTCTACAATAGTTTTATTCATAAAGAGCAAAAGGTAGGCAAGAAGCACTACAACTATTTCCCTTCAAAAGGATTAGGCCTTCAAAATAAGTTTATTTCATTTACATTATCTCAGCCACATTATTGCTGCTACTCTATACATATTTTACAGAATTAAGTAAAATTACCTGGCTAGTTTCTTTTTGTCAAGTCAGCTTTATGCCTAGTAAGCAATCTATGTATGTGTTTCCATTTTATTTATTCAACATAAACAGTAGTGTTGCAAAGAGAAACACAACTTGGTAATGGATTTAAATAGTTGGTTAATTATTGTTGTTAGGAACTTAAAGCCATATCCCAGAGTTTTATTTTAAGTCTAGAAATGAATAGAAACTCTATGAAGGCAGAAACCATGTCTGTCTTCTTCACCTGTATATTCACAGAGCCATGACTAGCACTCAACACCTAGTTGCTTCTAAGTAAATATTGTTGAATATATGAATAACTACAGAGTGCTTTTGAAGAATATCTGCTTGCCAATTGAAAGCTCTATGATTCAGTTCGATGAAATTGATTAAGCCATATTTCATGTATTTTTCTGACATAATTGGCAACAGTAGGGAAAAAATTCCCTGTAAGTGGGGAAAACTCTAGTATTTCCTCAATAACTCTTTCTACTTTAGGATTGTCATAATTTTTTTGCTATTCTAGATTAATTTACAGTTAATCTTATAAATCAATAAAATTCAATAAAAATATATATTTTTTCTTCAATGAACCATTTCCAGCGATGCTTTCAGTTGGCAAACTCTTTCCTTATTATATTAAGCATGACCTATTGCTTAATAGCATGCAATCTTGAAAAATCTTTTGAAGAGAAAAATGACTTCAGATATCTGAAGATATTGACCGATACTCTACGTTCCTTTTCAATTTCCTTTCAGAAATGTACATTTTCATTCAATTTTTCAATTAAAAGTTTTAATATAAATATTTCTCTAAAGAAAAATATGGCTGGTGGATGTAGACAGGGCTTCTTTTGTAACTTCCAAGAACAAGGCATCTTGGTTGGTAAGATTGGTGCTACAGGCCTCAAGACCCATAGGATTCACAATGTGAGTTATGTGCTATTCATTAGACAGTATCAAGGGATGCAATACATTTTCTGTACATTTTTTGACACATTATTTAAAATCAGAAAGAAATTTAAAAGGCTTATCTAAAGTGCCTAGCCATATTCACCCTCAAAATGGTATAATCAAATAATGGCATTGACCTTAGAATATCTGAGTATTTGTTGACTGTTAATATATATGGTACATTATATATCTTTGGTGGATGTATTTGTGATTACAAGGTGCAAGGTCTCCATAGAGAATACTGACCACAAAGCACTTACTGTTGGGTGTAATGTATGTTACCGTATCGTGTTACTGTGTGTCGAGATGTCACTGGGGATGTGGAGTCAACGGTTTGGCTTATGGGAAGGTCTGGGCTCACCATTTGCATCACTTGAATTTCTGGCCCTACTAAAATATTGCCACTCATCACAGGTCCCATACAAACATCAGTCATGCTACTATTGCTCATGTCAGGCACACCAGGACTAGCCAGTACTCTCTCAGCATAGATTACATTGTTGTAATCTGCTAACTCAGCAGGTACACAAATATTCCCTTGAATATCATAGACAGGTGCCAGTACTGCTTCGGTTACTACAACACTGGGTGCAAGTTGAGGATCAAAAATAATTGTAGTGGGTTGCACACATTGATCAGCAGTACCGAAAGTCTCAGTCACAATAATATCCCCATGAACCACGGGTTCAGATGCTGCCACTTCTTCTTGGAATTCAGCTTCTGAGGGAGTCAATCCTGAAGATTCATTAACAAAGTAATTAGGTCCGAGCAAAGGGAGGTCAGTACTGATCGGTATACAAGCCTGGTGTGAAGGAAATGGTTCAATTTCTGTGTTTAAGCAGATCTCAGCAAGAGTCCTAAATTTTGGATCTACAGTTTCCATGCAGGTTTCATCTAAGTCATCCACAATCCAACTGCAACAACCAATAGAGCCTACGGGAGACCCTACTCCCTCGTGGTCATAAATGAGCAAGCAGTCATTGGCTGGTCGACCTTCATCTTCATCTGCATAAGCATATGCTTTCTAAAATTAAAAGGGAGTGCAGAATTAGAAATTTCTTTTCCCCTAAAATAAGGAAGAATAACAGCAATCCCTCAGAGAGACTTCTAAGTAAGTTGTTATGGAATAAACTGAATAATGGTATCAGTCACTCATTAAAATAATTGATACTATTCATGCACATTCTGTGATAGTATTTGTAACTACCAATTTTAAGATATAGTTTACAATTGCAACAACATCTTCAGCATTTTTTTTTTCGTAAAGAATAATGGTGAAATTCATGTATCACCAGATGGGGAATAAAGCAGGCTAACTGAAATATGAGATAAAATGGGTTGTTATTTAAGCCGAGTAAACTTACTAAATAGGAATTCATGAGGGGATTTATTTACTCTTGATGCTACTCTATTAGGCCAACTCAATGTCTATAGGGCTTTTTTTTTTTTTTTTTTTGCTGATAGACCCATGATCTTTTTTCTTTTTTTCATGGATACATAATAGTTGTATATATTTATGGAGCACATGGGATGTCTTGAAACAGGTATACAATGCATAACGATAAAATCAGGGTAATCAGGGTATCTCTCACTTCAAGCATTTATGATATCTTTGTGTTAGGGACGTTCCGGTTCTATTTTAGTTCTTCTAAAATGTATAATAAATTATTGTTAACTATAGTCATCCTGTTGTGCTACCAAATACTAGATCTTCTTTATTCTATCTAACAGTATTTTCGTACCTATTAACCATGTCCACTTTGTTTCCCCTCCCTACTACCCTTGTCAGCCTCCAGAAACATCATTCTACTCTCTATCTCCATGAATTTGTTTTTTTCTTTTAGCTTCCACAAATGAGTGAGAACATGTCAAGTTAGTCTTTCTATGCCTGGCTTATTTCACTAAACACAATGTCTTTCAGTTCCATCCATGTTGTTGCAAATGACAAGATTTCATTTTTTTATGGCTGAATAATATTCCATTGTGTATGTGCATCACATTTTAAAAGTCCAATCATCCGTTGATGATTGTATTGGTTGATTCCATGTATTGGCCTCGTGACTAGTGCTGCAATAAACATGGGGGTGCATATATATATTTCTTTGATATACTGATTTCCTTTCTTTTGTATATATACCCAGTAGTGCTGTTGCTGGACCCCTTTTCTTAGTGAAGGTCAGTTGGTGGATAAGTCACTGGACTGAGAATAGGAGAGCTATCTTAGGTCTTAATCTAGCACAAGGCGTGGTGATGCTGTGTTCCTGAGTTTTAACTTCTTTCGTTCCCAATTCTGTCTTTATATTTTCTCTTTTCTGTTGGAGGCTCCCGGAGAACATGAAGGACATCAAAAAAAGAGGTCATAAATGCACGTTTTTTCCCCCTTGATGAACACTTTCCTGCTTTGCTACTGCTATGGGAAACAAGGTGAGGAATCAAGGAAACGGAAGATAGAAAAATGGAAAAGGGAAGTGGAGAATGATGAGGGGTGTGACCTTGTTCACAGTACTAAGATGTGCTATGGAAGTTGAATATGAAATCCTGCGGCAAATTAGTATTTTACGCTTTAAGAAGCGAAATTTTTTTATTCAGGTTTGGGATAGGGTTGAGAATAACACTATATTTCAGAAGAGGCTTACTGCTATTGTATTTTACTATTATTATTCAGTCTCAAGACGATTGTGTGTGTGAGGGCATTACCTCCGAGAAGTAGCTGTCCAAGAAAGCCATGTTGACGTCGGAGTCAGCGTAGTCCCGCAGGGTTCCCATGGTAGAGCTCCTCTTCCTTGCGGCCCCTGCGGCCCCCGCGACTCCTGCGGCTCCTGCGGCCCCTGCGGCCCCTGCGGCCATGAGGCCAGCGGCTGTCCCCATCCCTGTGTTGAGCTCCACTCCCGATACACCTCCTTCCACCGTGCCCCCGGCTGCATAGGTGTTGGTGTAGATTTCTGAAAAGGGAGGATGTTGGTGTAACAGCGCTCGAGTTGCCTGCAGCGCGTATCTGCCTAAAACGCTGCCGCCGCCATCTGCGGTGCCACCACCACCCAGCGCTAAAAAGCTGACAGAGAGCGCTAGGAGTTACACCGATACATCTCCAGGCTTGTTGACCAAAGAAAAGTAAATTAATGACACAGAGGGAGTCAGTGGTGGGACGTGGCCTTCCCACATTTGCACAGACTTCGCCCTAGACCTAAAGGTGTAGAACTTGCCAAAAGGAGCTGCAAGCAGGCCCCCGTTCCCGCCGTGGCCGCTGCGGGCTTGACCCATCCGGGAGCCCTCCAAAGCAAGGCCAGCGGCGTGACTGCAGAAACTGAGCTCATAGTCCTCCTTCTGGAACAAGATGCAGCTGGGCTCACAGGGATGTTCAGTCACAGAGCTTTTTTGCATGCAAAGGGCCAAACTTGGAATACTAAGGAACAATCAGAGAAAGCTCACATGCACTGCAGAATTAAGCACCCTTTCTATTTGGTGCAATCATTGCCAGATAGCTAAGTAGTGTGTTCAATATTCTTAGATATACGTGGGGCTGGTAAGATAGGAGAGTTTAAGACACTCTCTTGAGGCAAAAGCTTGTCTGAATTTAAGAAAAGTTTTTCAGTGTATTATTAGAGTACATTTACTACCTTTTCTTTAGCTCTTTTTCTTTTTTTTAAACCAGCTTGTGTTATAAATAATGACTACAGTAGCATGTACTCTGTGCCAGGCACTATTCTAACGCAGATTTTGTGATATATGTATATATACATATTTATATATGTGTGTGTATATATACACACACACACATATGTTATACATTATAAAATAATCTATACAATATATGTATGTATGATATATTACATATATAATATGTATTATTTACTCCTCACAGCAACACTTTAAAGTAGGTACTATCATAAGCTCAATTTCAAAGATAAGGAAACTGAGGCCCAGGGAGGTTAAATGTCTTGACTAAGGACTTATTACTACAGGTTGAACATCCCAAATCCAATAATCAAGAATCCAAAATGCTCCTATGTCTGAAACTTTTTGATCACCATGGCACAAAAAGGTTGAGCCAAACTCAAACTCATGGTCCTGTGCATTTCGGATAAAAACCATGCAGCCCTTAAGCAAGTGGCAGAGCTGGGAATCAAACCCAAGCATTCTGCTTCCAGAGTTTGCTCTTTTAACTGCTGTGTCATACTTCACTGTCTGTAGTTTCAGATAGAAAAAAAAAAGTGGCTACTTCAAACAGGTCACACTTCCTCTAATTATACTGTCAAAAGATTGACAGACTTTTCCATAAGGTACTTTTACATGAAGTTGGTTTCTGGTTGAATAATTGTGAAAAATTTAAAAGGAAAAGCAGATTTTGGTGTTTACTGACCAGAGGAATCCATCCGATCCTGGGTATTTGAGGCTGTCATGGGTGCACATATATTTGACACATCCTGAAAAGAAAAATAAACATTTGAAAAACAAATGCTTTATGTTAAACATTTAAACACTGACATCTGTTCATTTTTGTGCAGCATGTAATTGTTAAGACATGCTCAATTTCCACTGAAACGCCACACTTCTCTGGAAAGTGATAGTCCACTCACCCTGTCCTCCGGATGGGCCCCTTCAATTCTCCAAGACTGCATCACTCCTTCTCCGCCCTCAGGCACAGGAGCAAATCTTGTTCCCAGGCCTTCAGGCTGCCTCTGTTTGCAGCAACACAGTAGCAGCAAGAGTGGAGCCACTGCTCAAGAAAGTGACAACGAGTTTACACAAATTGCTCAGTTTAGGAAGTCACTGGATGAATCATTTTGGGGAGCATTTGGTGGCATTATATTTAGAACAAAAATACAAATATATGTATTTAGAACAAAAATACAAATATATGTATTTAGAACAAAAATACAAATATATGTATTTAGAACAAAAATACAAATATATGTAAGAAAATCTCATTTTTTTTCCTTTAGAGGATTGAGTATACATATCCAAGTTTATAAATACAACACCACCAAATCACATAGAACTTAAGCGCTAGATGGCAAGGAGTTTGAGATCAGGTAATTGAATTTCTTTACTGACAGATTAGGAAAGTAAGGTCGCCTTTAGTCTAAGACTCCTGAGCTGGTTGGAGCAGATACACACACACATGTAAGTTAAACACATCGTGAATATATGTTATCAAGAGGATTGAATACAGGATTCAGCTATGGGACCTGGAGATAGGACCTTTCTTCAATCCTTATTACAGTTACACTTAAAATAGAAGTCAAATAATACTCACTAAATTTAATGGAGATATTTACAATTATTTTAAGACTTGTTTGCAGACTATAATGAAAAATTAAAGCTATCAAAAATGTTTAGCTATCCAAGTGTTTCTTCCAAGAGGAAATTTCCTATTTGCTACCCTAATAATCACCTCAATTCTATATTTTAATCCATAAATATAGACACTGCTTAAGTTTTCTAAGATTCTAGAATACACTCTGTTTAGTTCTTTGGGCCCACTCTAGTTGCTTTCCATACTTTCCCAATTCTCTAGCATGGCATGCATTTTACTAAGTGGGTTAATTAAAGATAAAGAATAGAAGGATAAATGCTTGAGGAGATGGATGCCCTGTTCTCCAGGATGTGATTATTTCACATTGCATGCCTCTATCAAAGCAGCTAATGTACCCCATAAATATGTATACCTATTATGTACTCACAAAAATTAAAAATTAAAAACAGATACAAAATCAGCTTTAATCTTATTACAACAATTAATTTGGCAATTTTGCCATCTGCACTATGAACAGTGAAAAGTTAAGTTATACATTTCCATAGCATTTTCTGGAAAAGGGCTAAAACTAGAATTGGTAGCCCCTAGGCCATGGTTCCACCTATTCTATATTTCTGTGAATTTAAATGTGAGCTGGATCACGTACCATTGCAGGCATGAACTCTAACAAAGGTACTATCTAATAAATGAAGTGTTTTTAGCGCGTACCCAATACAATTACTGTATGTGTAATCTCATTTGGAGCTAACATCAAAAGTGTCAATTTGAGGCCCTTCGGGAACATAGGTTTGGGCTCAGATCCCTCCCACTACCATCACACTGCCTCCTGTCTCCTAAAATCGACCATGGACTTCTCCGTTGAAAACAAGTGTCCATCGGGGTATTCCTCTCCTATTCTACAATCAGTTGAATAAGTCTGCTGCTTTCTTTGACCGGGTCAGGAAAAGTCTTGAAACTCTTAGTGCTAACCTTTTGGAAATGCAGCTGGCACTGGGTTTTTAACCCTGAACTGAACATTAGTTTCACCAAAGGGCTTGAACATGCCGATGCTTAGTCTCATCTTGAGTATGACCCAAGCATGAGTAATTTTGGAAGACCTTTAACTAATTCTTATGTACAACTGGGGTTGAGAACCACTAACTCAAAGCTTACCTGCAACCACTACTCAATTGCTGTAGAGTTACGTTCTGGGAAAATATCTCTAATATCATTGTGAGAATCACTCATGATCTTTGCATAGCTTTGAAACCTCGCAGATTATTTCAAGAAAGAAATCCTCCCCAAAAGTCAGCTGTTATTTTTTGTGCCTTGAAATGATTACATTTTAATTAGTGCTCATCCCTGAAAACATAGCAACAATACAGTCTGACAAATTTAATTCTCAAATTTTACAACCCAGCTTTTGATCCCCATGAAACCTAAGTATTGCAAGGGCAACCTAAAATGTATGAAGTATCCTTCCTCTGAGGATCTATATGTTTAAAAAAACACTACGGGGAAAGGAGGGCCCTTTTTGGGAAAGTTTTCTTTGGGGATCTTGCCGTTTCTGTGACCATAGTCTTCGTTTAGGCACTCACCCAGAACCCGGAGGGTAATTCTCTGTTCTAGTCTCTTCTCCCTGCTTCCTACTGCAGGGTCAGCTGTGCTCATCAGCCCTCATCGACTCTTCTGTGCCACGGTACTGAAGCCCAGAATGCCTAGTGCGTCATGAACATGCCTCCATGCTGGCTCCCAGCCTCCCTTTTAGCCTCTGTACTCCTAGGTGTGCTATGCTCTTCCATATCTTGCTCCCTTGTGTGTGTGTGTGTGTGTGTGTGTGTTTGTCTTTGATTACCTTTCAAATTTCCTTAGACAGCATCCTCCTTTAAAAGAAATCCTCAGCAGGGCACAGTGGCTCATGCCTGTAATCCCAGCACTTTGGGAAGCTGAGGTGGGTGGATCACGAGGTCACGAGTTGGAGACCATCCTGGCTATCACGGTGAAACCCTGCCTCTACTAAAAATACAAAAATTAGCCAGTCGTGGTGGTGGGCGCCTGTAGTCCCAGCTACTTGGGAGACTGAGGCAGGAGAATAGTTTGAACCCAGGAGGTGGAAGTTTGCAGTGAGCCAAGATTGCGCCACTGTACTCCAGCCTGGGCAATAGAGCAAGACTCCATCTCAAAAAAAAAAGAAAAAAGAAAAAAGAAAAAAATATCCTCAGCTTTTCAGGCTTACCTCAAAATCCACTTTTCCAAAAAGATTGTCCTAACTTTTCCATAGAAATTTCCATGATGGGATTTGTTTTGTGCTTTTATGTAGTATATGTAGTGATTTGCATGTGTTTCCCATTTTTAGGACTCTCACTCACTCTAGGTTTTCTTAGTTATCATTGTGGATTAAGTGCATATCCTTGTCTGTGCCATTGTTTATTTCTAAGGCACTCAGAAATTGCTAGAGATACCAAAAAGAAATGGCTACATGAACCTAACCATCCCAGTGAACCTCGTTACAGTCCTATTTTGAAGAACTGTTGAAAAGAAGGATTTAATTGAGTACTTACAAAGCAGTAGCAGGATGCCCAGAACCATCATGCCGATTCCTGCTGGTCCAAGACCAACATTTGAAACTCCAGCTTGGTCTTCAGTGACAGGCCCATACGTGTCACCAGTTACATCCTCTGTGTAGATGCCCGTGGCACCAGAGTCCAGGCACATGTGGTTGTCATCGCAGTCGCAGGCATATAACTGCACCATCTGTGCCAATTCGCATGCTCTGTTATAACTGTCCTTCACCAGGATTGGGATTTCATAAAATCCTGGAGATAAAACCTGCTTAGCCGTAAGGATTGCTGAGGTAGCTGAAATGGAAGAGAGGAAACAGAACAGAAAATAAATGGAAATTCCTTGGTTGTTGGGGGGGTGGTGGTTAACTCTCCCTAATACCAAACATCGACTTAAAACACTTGATTTTTTTCATGCTTTCTTAGTCATAAAGCACCTTGTACTTTTTTTTTTAAATTTATTTTTTATTATTATTATACTTTAAGTTCTAGGGTATATGTGCATAACGTGCAGGTTTGTTACATATGTATACTTGTGCCATGTTGGTGTGCTGCACCCATCAACTCGTCAGCACCCATCAACTCGTCATTTACAT